GCTGATGACGGGTAAGGAGTTAGGGTGACTCGGCCGCCTAAGACAGGGCCCCTTTGGCACCTTCCTGATTCTCGCGCAAGAACAGGAGCATGTTGCGGGCATGTAACGTCGACTCCATTTGCCGTTGCCTTCATTGCTGCTTTTGTTAAAAAGGAAAGGAGGAATTGTGGAGAACCATAGATCCACCCCTCCGCCATTTTATGATATAGCCTATGAAGCCATTTTGTGTTAGGTTTAGTTTTCCTGTAGATCACATGATATGTTCCCGTGGGTGTTTGATGTATCCTTATAAGGTAATAATCTGTTCTCTGTATGCTGAATGGTTGCATTATGGTATATATGTTGCCACCCCTTCCAGGCGTGGAGAGCGGGGTAGAGATCCGGAGATGAGGAACTAAAGTAAATTCCTTGTGTATCAAGTGTGTGCCTCTGCTCCCACGTCGCCAGTTCAGGCCCCTGTAGTCGCAGACCGAGTTGCCCAAGGCAATCCGGCTCGCGACAGGTGGCGCCCTAACAGGGACCTGGACTCGGTGATTTTCATGGGCAAAGTGAAACGGACCCAGGTCGCCTCGGGTTAAGAGGGACGGCAATCCGTGGGCGGACCCAGGTCGCCTCGGGTTAAGAGGCACGGCAGTTCGTCGGAGCAGCGGCTGCGCCTGATCCACGCAGTGGTAAGTAAAGGCAACCAGGAAGGTTGATTCCTCTCGCTTGCTCGTGTTTATAGAAAACAAAGAATGGGACAAGGTCTGTCTACGGACTGTATTACCCACGCCATCCAGAAAATTTTACAGACGCAAGGAGTTGAGGCAGTCTGGCTCGCGACAGAAAGCAGCAGAAAACAGAATTCTCCTACCTGCTAGAAAATGGGTGTATGCAACAGTGCTGGTGTAGTTTAGATGTGAAACGATGCCAAGGCCTCACGTGGTTGGCAGGTAATCGTGGGGCTTATATCTGATCTGCTGAGAGGTGGGGCCGTGCTGCCCTGCCTTGGAGCCAGGTGACCGTGGACTGAGATTTCTACAAACTGTGGACCAAAATGAACCTGTCCTTTAGCTCCAGTCGTCGGGGATTGCATCCCAGTGGAGAGACAGTGACTACACAGTATATTCTAAGCAGGACGGAATTAACCCCACCTCACAGGTCTTCTCCACATAAAGGCAGTCTAAGACTGACATTTCACCTGTGTTGGAAATCTAATACCTTTGGAAATGCATCCGTGTCGGTTTGCTGGAGCTGCTGTAAGGGGACGCTGCAGACCGGATGCTCAAACAACAGGACTGTGTTTCTCTACTGTGCTGGGGGCTGGAAATTGGAGAGCAGGGCTGCAGCAGGGCTGGTCTCCCGAGGCCTAGCTCCTTGGCTTGCAGTTGGCTGCCCCTTTGCCATGTCCTCACATGGCCTTCTGTGTGCCGCTTCCCAGTGTCCCAATGCTGCTTTTAATAAGGACACAGTCGGATCTCATTAGGGCTCACACCAAGCACCCATGTGAACTCATTCACCTACTTAAAGGCCCTGCCCCCAGCACAGTCACACCCTAAGGTTTGGACACCTGAATTTGGGGAGGACACAATTCCGCCTGTAACAACCATTGCACAGCCACCTTTATAGTGAATTTGGACCCGGCCTGTGGGTGCGTTAGCGGGAGAGGAGCTGTGCACCTTCTGCTCCATCCACACTGTGGCTGGGCCGGCTGTGAGAGAGACTGTGCAGGGCACAGGAGCCAAGTGCTGTGACTTTCACAAAGCCGAAACAGGCAGGCCTCTGCAGTGGTGCGGGGGAGCATCACCGGCCCGCAGAAGGAGGAGTGTCAGTGGGAGACTGCCTGAAATGGTCACAGCTTGGAAATGAGAGCAGGAACAGAAGCAATTCTTGTACGTGGGCCGAGCCCTTGGACAGTCCAGTACGCACTCAGCTCAGCAGTGCTGAGACACCTCAGCAGGAGAGTTTCAAAAATGGCACGGGTTCTGAGGAGCACTGGAGAACTTACACGCACCGTGTGGCAAGCCCAGGACGGGGCCAGGCAGGGTGCCTCTGGAGGAGGAGCAGCCACTCCTTTTGCAGCTTCTTAAAACAGCAGAAAGGGCTCCACAGCAAGAGCCACTTCCTCGCATGCTGAAGGTTCCACTTCTACTGTCAGGATTCAGAGCTATGCTCCCCTTGTCTAGGGAAACTGGATGAATCACTGTGGCTTCTGTGTGATTCTGACATCATTCCTCTGTGCAGCAGCACTGTGGGAGCTGCTTGGTGTCATAGCAACAGGTTGCAGCAGAACAGGCTGCCAGTCAAGGGCAAGAGCCAAGGCGCTGCACTGTGTGACAGTTACTTTCATTTATGTAAAAAAGGTCATTTCTTTGCTCACCCTTGCACACTTACCTATGCGCACACACATACACAAGCTTGCATATCCTACCACAAATACTCTATCAATATACAATACATCCATAATGCCTTTTATCTCTGGGGAGCTTGGGTAGGAGGTAGAACCAGAAGTGAGAAGATTTCTCCTTCATTGTATATCTTAAAATATTTTTTTGTGTTTACTATGTATACTTGTGACTTCCTGATTAAAAAAAATGAATGTTTTAACCATCTGTCCATTCAAATGAAAGATTAGCTTTGATTCGTGTGTGAGATGCAATGTTTAAAAGCCCACGTGTGAGAGATAAACATTCAGCAATGATGTGAGGCTGGTATTGCAGGGCTGCTGTGGACGCTGGTCCCTGGGACTCTGCACTCGGGTCGGGGGGGCCCCCACAGGGCGAAGCCCTCAGCACACGGCCGAGCACGTACGAGGACAGAGGACTGAATGCAAGGACTTGTCTTGAGGAATTATGGGCTAATCTCTGAGTCATTCTCCTCCTTTGTGCTGTTACATCTTTCTAATAAAACAGAAAGAGAGAAACACATTTTGGGAGATTTAAAGTCAGCAGCTCAGAGAACCAAAAAGATAGAAGCAGACAGAGGGAGGTGGGCAGGGAGAGGACGTGGCATTCAATAAAGAGCAGCAGCTTTGGCCGACACCTGTCCTTCCTGATGACACCTTCTCCTCAGCCGTCCCTCATTCCAGGCCATGTCCCCGCTCCAGTCGCCCCTGACCCTGACCATTTCCTTCATTTGTCCTTGCCTTCTCTGAAAGGTCAGTGCTGAGTTTTAGGACTGGTTATGTGCAACACTAAATTTTGACAGCAGGATAAATGCTGGCACACTCTGTTATGGTTAGGATAACAGTGTCCCCCAGAGGCTCCTGGTGATGAAGGTTTGGTTGCCAGCAGATAGATTGGATTATGAGAACTTCAACTTCATAAAGTGGATCAATCCATTCATGACCGTAATTTGATGACCTTACGGGAGCTGATGGAAACAGGAGGTTGGGCCTGATTGAGGGGAGTGGATCGGGTGGGGTTGGGGACCACATCCAGTCCCAGACCCTTTGCCTCAGGCTCATTCCCACTCTGCATCCTGTGGTCCTGAGGTGAGGCGCTTTCCTCCGCCACACCCTTCCGTCCTGACGTTTCTCTTCACCATAGGCCTCAGGCATTACAGTCAGATAACCATGGACTGAAACCTCCGAAACCGTAAGCCAAAATAAACCCTTCCTTTTTAAAATTCAGTTTTGGTCAGGTATTTTGTCACAGTAATAAAAAGCTAACTAATACTTTCTCTTTTGCTGTTTGTATTGTCTAACAAAGGACTTATTGGGCAGAAGAGCAAGTGACATACACAAATGGCAGCTTTGAGGTTATTGACTCTGAATGATAACTCCAGTCTACAGTGTTTATTTTGTGGTTTTGGAGCTCCTGCAGAGATGTGTCCATTCATTCTGCATTCTTAAGGCAGCCTGTTTTGCCCTGGGGCAAAATGTCTTCCTGTATCTGGCTGAAGCCTGTTTTCACATTCCATCTCCCGGCCCTAATTTCACCCTTGGGACCCCTCTGAGCAAATCCAAGAGTTTCACCACAAGATGGAACTTTGGGAGTCTGGGGGACTCTTCCCCATCCTGGCAAATCTATTATCATGGTTCTTTGCAAGACCCAGCCCTTTTTTTTGTTTTCTTTTGTTTTTTTTGAGACAGGGTCTCACCATGTAGTTGAGACTGACCTGGAACTCGCTATGTAGCCCAGTAGACCCAGCCCTTTCTAAGCTGGAGCCGACCCCCACAGAAGCCAGGGTAGAAACTGTCTTTGTCAGGGGGCTCCGGGAGCCAGCCACCCCTCATGTGGCCGAGCGCAGAGGAGAGCAGATGCCCCCAGGCTCATCCTGGGCCCCCACACTCTCACCCCACTTGCCCATGTGACATTCTTAGGTAAACCACAGAAGTGCAGTTATTTTTGACCCAAGAGGGTTTTATGTGTTTGAAGCAAGTTAAGAACCTTTGATACATTCTTTTAAAATTTTCATCGCGTTGGATTTGTCCACTGCTGTAGGTTTTTAGGCCTTTTGCAACCACTTGATCACTTGCTGATCCTTGTGGGTAGCATTCTTCCCTGTGTCAGGGTGAGAAACAAGTGCAAGCCTGCATGGGACTGTGCTCTGGTCAGATCCCCGAGACCTCCCACTTTCGGATACAGACATAGACCAGTTTACCACCTGTCTCACTGCAGTGCAGACTCACTGCTTTCCTCTTCCCAGACCGAGTGCTCTTGAGGTTGTAGGATTTTTTTTTATAAGTCTAATAGCCAAGAGTGGTGGACATGCCTACAATGCCAGCTCTGGGGAGGCTGAGGCAGGAGGACTGCAAGTTCAAATCCAGACCGATGGGCAACTTAGTGACGCAGTGATACCCTGCTTCACAAATAAAAAATAAAAAAGGACTGGGGATGTAGCTCAGTGAAAAGGACCTGGGCCAACCCTCGGTTCTGTCATTGTGGTAAGAATAGGTAAATTAATAAATAAAAATAAAATTTAATAAGTGAAGCAAATCACTCTGATGTGATTCATTCATCCCACCCCAGTCATCCACACTGCCTCGTGTAGCCTCTGCTCCCTCTTCATGGGTGTGAAGAATCCTTCTGGGCCCTGTTCTCTCTCAAGTTAGCGCCAAGCTCCCTTTTGCCCATATTTTCCAGAATCGGTCTTGCTCACCATTTCAAGACTTTCAACATTTTCAGTCCCTGTACACCCTGGCACCCCTTTTGTTCCTCACCATTTCTCTGCATCCCCAGCAAGTCTATATTTCATTTACACGGACTCTCAGTTCTCGGTTGCTGTTGGGCTCTGAGGTGCTGGAAGCCTGGATTCCTTTGGAGCAGTTCGTGGACGTGACCGTCTCCTTGTGCCTTGAAAATACTCTGGCTGGAATACATTGCAGGCTCTATTCTGTTTTTAAAATTTTCTTTTGCTTTTTATAACTAGAATGCTAGTAATGTTAATTTCTTCCTAAGTGGGTCAAAATTTGGATTTTTTTTTTTGTACCAGGGATAGAACTCAGGACCTCGCGCTTGGGAGGCAGGCGCAGTGCCACTGAGCTAAATCCCAGGCCCAAAATTTAGAATTTTTAACGAAATGCTTTCTTTTAGCATAATGAGTAATTGTAAGTTCCTTTCCCTCTACTAACAATTTTTCATTTTTCTTTTTTTTTTGCTTTTTTTTCTCATTAAGTTATTGGTACTTTTAAGGTGTACAGTACAGTTATATTCATCATTGGGATCTTGCACCTTTACATGACAGGTCTTGGTTCTCATTTTAATTTTTCATATGTCACTTATGAGATGTATTTGGAGAGTCACGGTTCTTCAAAATGAAGCTATCAATTTCACATTTGCCACATTTATGCTTTTACGTACGAATGGCTGATTCTTTTCTCCTCAGTAGCTTTTTCCATCCAGGGTTGGCCCCAGCTTCTCTTCTCCTCTGCCCAACATTCGATGTTGAGCTCTGTTGCTGCCCTTTGTTTCTTGCATCCTGGGCTTGTGCCTTGGTTATGAGCTGTGTACTCTTCCTGTCCCAAGGGATGGTAGGCCGTTTCCTCCTGCATCTTAATTTTTCTGCATACAACATTTAATTGCAAAATGCATGCCCTAACGGAGGCGCTCTGTTGTTTCGTTTGGTTCACATTTAACCAGGCGTCATCTTGTTTTTTTCCTTTAGTTTTATGTTTTATTTCATAGCCTGTCTGCTGATGCAGCATTACTTTTGTTTCCAGTAAATGAAAGGCAAACATTTCCCTCCTCTTAGTGCTTAGGCGAAAAGAAGAGCTCAAGTGCTCAGCAGTTCTTCGAGATGAGGCAGTGCGTGACACAGTTCCATTTGATGCTTCTTCGCCGCTTCCCTCGCATGTAGCTGTTTTGCATCTTTGGTCATTTGCTGACCATTTCTTCAGGTTGGTTTGTATTCGCTGTCCTTTAAGGCATGCATGTTTGATCCCGTTTAAGGACAATTTCCATTAAAACAGAAGGTTCTGATTTTTAGTTGAGGAATAAAGAGTTACTTTCCTGTCAAACACAACAGATTACGTTTAGGCTGCTGCCAAAGAACACATATTTCACCTTATCCGCAAGACTACTGGTCAGATTCTGCAAACTGCTAGCAAACATGAAAATAATTTGGGTTGATGATGATGAATTCTTTCCTAGAAGCAAATGAACTTTTGCTGGAATTAAACAAGAGAGGGGATATTATTGCTCGATTTGTATGTGAAGGGAACAACAAAGGACAGTGATTTGTAATGCATGGTCGATGTTTCCTCCACAGTAGGAGAAAGACCCAAAGAGGGCTTTATGATACTTTTCTTTCGGTTTGCAATCCTTTGTTCAGAAAAAAAACATGAGCCTGTCCAGAGTAATTGAAGAATTAAGCAGAATTCTGATGATAGTCTGATAATGGCAACAAATATAAGTCCTACGTAGGAATGTTTTAACTTAGTATTTTGAGGTGTTAATGGTAGACAGTGAAAGTTATGTACATTAAAAATTGAAGTACCATTTACACAGGAACAAACGCACTCTTTTTAGTTCACAGCACTGTGAGTTTTGACAATTCATAAAAGCACACAACTATCATCAAAATCAAAGTATGGAAAACCTCATCGTTCACAAAATGCCCCTGTGTCCCTTTGAAACCAGCTGTTTTCCCACTCCTACTTCCTGCTTTCTGCCCTTACAATGTGGCCTTTTCCAGAAGGTCACATAAATGGCATCCTGGAGACGTAGCCCCTGGAAGCCAGCCCTTTTTACTTGGAGAAACGCCTTTGAAATTCATTCATATCTTTGAGTGTTTATCTCTTCTCATCACGTAGGGGCCCATTGTATGGATGCACCTGACCGTTTCTCCATTTGTTGGTGGTACAAAGAGACATGCCTTTCCCTAGCTTTTGGTGAGTATGAGTAAGCATTCATAATGTTTAGTTCCCCTTAAACTTTGCACACCGATTTTCCTCTGTGAATGTTCGTCGTTGTTGAAGTTGAGGACACATCGTGAGTGGGGTGCTGGGATGTGTGTCAGCTCTGCAGGGAGCTGCCACAGTGCCCGTTCACCCGCACGCCTCTGTCCTCCTCTGCCCTTGGTATTCTCCCCTCCTTTCTAACAGAATTGTGCTGCTTTCCCATTAGGAGATCTCAGTTTGCATTTTCCACATGACACTTTAATATGCCTGTCAATTACCTGTGCGTCACTGGCAGCGATGTGTCTGTTCAGTCTTTACCTGTTTTAAAAATCACGTTGTTTACTTGTTGTTGAGTTTTGATATTTCTTTATATGTTTCGGATATAATTCCTATATCAGGTATGTTCTTTCTAATATTTTTCTGTGACTTCTTTTTTGTCAGTTACAGTGTCTTTAGCAAAGTAGAACTTTCTAATTTTGCTGATCAATTATTTCTTTCATGAATTGCGGCTTTGGTGTCATATCTAAAAACTGTCAAAGTCACAAAATTTTCCTTTGTATCTTTTTTTACAAAGTTTTATAATTTCATTTTTGCATTTGTATTTGTGGTCCATTATGGGTTAAGTTTTGCTTACAGGGAATGGTATGGATTAAACTTTATTTCTTTATATATGGCTGCCCAGTGGTTCCCATTCTGTTTGTTGTAAAGATGATTTTTTTCCCACTGAATTACAGTTGCACTTTTGTTGAAAAGCAATAGTCAAAATATATCTGAGTCTATTTCTGGTCTGTATATTATGTTCCGTTGAGCTACTTGTCTATACTTAATTTGATACACAAAGTAGTTGTTCATTTGATAATAATTATTTTTGGTAACTACAATTTTAATTTGCCCAACTCTTATTCTTGTAATTGGGCAGTCAGTTCTTTATTCCTTTTTGAAAACTTAACTGTTTATTTCCACTTGATAGTCTCACTGTTTGCATCTAAGATAAGAGATTATTTAAAATTTTTATTCTTTCAGATTCTCTTATAGCTGATATTTTGCTATTTTAATATTAATTCATGTTAATAAGAGGTTTTGCCTCCATACTTTAATTACTAGACATTTATTAGTGATAAAATTATTATCACCATAGATCAAGGAAAATAAGATACCCATAAAACTTGGTTAATTCACAGCTTGGATATTTATTTTTAGTTCATTTTATTGTTGTCTACTCTTTAAATAAAGCCAGCTACAAAGAAAATATTCTTA